TGTCTGAGTGCCAAGCTTCCAGGAATTCCCTAGCGTTTTTGGATTTAGCTTTGTCTAGGATGCTCAGTTTCCTAGTTGAAACTATGCTGCAGCTTCCACTCATATTTATGTTTTATTATGCTAAACTATGTGATGTTTCAGAAGCAGATTACCCAAACAGTTTGAATCCTTCAGGAAAAAAAAAAAAGAGTGGAGGATTCCTGATTATTCATTCTTATTCAAAAGTCTTAGCCATTAAAATTAGACCAGTGGCTTAAAGAGAATGATGATTTCTAAGCTCTAGATGACACGCTCTCATAAGGTTTATTTCTATTTTCTTAATGAAGTGGGGAAAATAAATACATTTCAACAGTTAAGGACATTTCCTAGCAATCTTTGAGACAAAGTCTATTGCTTGAAGGAGCAAACAAAGCGATAGCTAAATCACAAATAGATACTGGGTGAAACAGCTGTGATGCCATTACATCACAGGCCAAATTCATGATTTTTTTCTTGTTAAGATAAAAAAAAAAAAAACCCATATAGAATTAAAAGAAACAATATCTTACCAATTCTCTGACTCCATACTGTTTCTCTACTTTAACCTTTAAGTGCCTGAAACATTCTTCCATACGTTTGTGGAAAGGACGAAGGCTATCTGATACCCTTCTTTCATGAATCTTAATTCCAGCTGCAAGAAAAGGAACCTAAAAAGGAACAAGAATATTTCGAGTCATGGTATTCTGTACCCCCCATCTCTCCAGAATATGTTCAACTGACTGGAGTAATAAGATTTGATCTGTAATACATTTGCCAGCCAACATTTCCTTCTTTCCTTTCAAACAGGTGGCAATATGGCATACTGTGAACTGCAAGAAAATAATTACGGAAGGGAGAAGTACAATCCTTCCTAGAAAAAATATAACTGCATTTTTTTGTTTCCTAAGAATAATCATATATAATAAAGGTTTAAATAGATGGATGATTTATGATACTTCATATATTCTTAAGGTGAAGAATGAGAGAAAATCCAGACCAGGCCAGATTAGTATGATTGGTGACATGTGCTACAAGCCAACAATTTACTTGATTATGGATACATAGTGGATATTTTCACTGTGTTGCAAAGGTTACATTGGAAGCATTTTGCTAACTGATGAAATCATCAGTAAGCTCAGAAGCAAAGTCAGTTGAACTGAAATTCCACCCTCAGTAGCATGGTTGTTGCCTCACTGTGGTGTGTGTGTGCGTGTGTGTGCGTGTGAGAGTGTGTCTTCCTGAAAGGGATGAGCAAAGAACGGCAGGAACGTATGCCAAGAGAACAGTATCTATTTCCAGAAGGATCACCCAAGGTTATGAAGGTTATCCCAGCTGTACGGCCAAAGCAAGCAGGCACCTATATTTGGTAGTAGCAGTATAAGAAGATGCTGAAAGCAGATGATCACTTTAGTGACTATGGAAAAGGCATCGTTTCATACTGTGTGGGAGAAGGTTAATGGTAAACCACTCCTGTACTTTACCAATCCCCCCCACCTGTCCACATAAATAATAATAAGTAATTGACAGTATAATGCTAGAGGATGGTCCTCAGGTCAGATAGCATTCAATGTGCCACAGATGAAGATCTGAGAATCTTTCAGAGTAGTAATAATGTTTATGATGTAGCTAGATTAGAGCAAAACGACTGGCTTCAGGTTGGCAAAGGAGTGAAACAAGGCTGTATACCCTCCCCTTGTTTATTCAACCTATATGTTGAATATATACTGAGAGAGGCTGGATTGGAAGAAGATGAGTGGGTTTTTAAAGTTGGAGGAAGAAACATCAATAACCTGCACTATGCTGATGACACTACTCTGACAGCTGAAAATGCAAATGATCTGCAAGCTCTAGTAATAAAAGTCAAGGAGTACAGTGCAAAAAAATGGGTTTAAGATTAAATATAAAGAAGGCTAAACTAATGACAAGAGGTACAGCAAACAGCCTTAGAATTTATAATATAGACATTCAGGTGGTAGATAGTTTCTGCTTTTTAGGATCACCTAATAACAGTAAAGGAAACAGCAGTCAAGAAACATACTACAGACTCACACTTGGTTGAGTAGCAGTGAAAGACTTGGAAAAAATATTCAGATGCCATAATGTGTCTATACCTACAAATATTAGAACTGTGCAGTCAGTGGTTTTCCCTGTGACACTCTAGGGAAGCAAAAGTTGCACTTTGAAGAAACAAGTTAGGAAGAATATTAGCACTTCTGAACTCTGGTGTTAGAGGTGACTCCTGAGAATACCATAGATAGCCAAGAAAACAGAGAAATTACTACAACAAATCAATCCAGAGTTGTCATGCGAGGCCCAAAATAACCAGACTCAAATTATCACATTTTAGATGTTTTATGTGAAGACCCAGTTCTCTTGAGAAATCCATAATGGTGGGGGAGGTGGAAGGAAACAGTAGATTACCAGCAACAAGGACTTGATTGGAGCAGTGATAGATGCACCTTTGGAAGACTTGAAGGGCCAGGTTGAAGACAGATTATCCTGGAGAAGGTTTATCTGTGTCACTGCTAACAGTCAACACCGACTTGATGGAGCATACCAGTAACCATTCAATCAGCAATCAACATGATAGCTATGTCCTCTAAACCCATGGGTAACAATCCATGGCCTCAGGCCTACACACAGTTCTCAAGAACTTAGAGCTATTGAACCTCTCTGTGCTCAGCTGTTAAAAATTGGAAGTATAAATTTCTCATCATTTTGGGATACACCATTTTGAGGCATCCCCTCACACCAAAATTGTGTTCTTCATTACACAGTTTTTTAAAAAGCCAGAGATTGTCTACCTGTTCTAATTGGTCTCTTACTAACAAATCATTTTGTCTCCTGCTTTTCAAGGGACTGGCACAATGCAGATGCTTCCCCATCATAATACCTCACCTGCTCTATCCAGAAAGACTGTGAATCTTCATGTTTCTCGTGTAAGTCCTCTTTAGGCAATGGGACTACACTTGAGAAGGAAACCATGGACAGATCTATTCTTCATGTTTAGAGGTTGGTTGTCTGCACCAGATAACTTTATTATTTACTAATAATTTAGGATTATCAGAACAATTTAAAGTTCTAACTTTCTAGTATTCTAAATCATGTTGGAAGCCTCCATTAATAGGGAATTCTTCTGAAAACAATTTAAACATAGTGAGCTGTGAGAATGTGACAGAAGCACATATTGTAGTATGCTTTTCCATTCCTTTCCTTTCATATGGAGCTCCTATTTGAAAATGCCTGATAAGGAAAGTTATGGGGGTGTTTGTGGAAACAACTACAAATTTGATATAAAATATATGCAAACATATAAATGAAAGACCTACTTCATAATGCCAAGATTAAGTATTTTCTTGCATACATTCTCAGTAGCTTTTTCCACAGCAAACAGTAATTTTTTTGTTGATTCAGCTGTCAGAAGGAAGATACTGACAACTGTTGGTGATTTACCCAGAAAAGACTAGAAGCAAAAAATAATTTAGTCTCTGAAAAAATATAAAAAGTGTTACCATTATGCTACATCCCTCATAAAGTTGCTATATTTGATATTTTAGCAAGAACATAAAAATAGAAGTGATATTTTCAGGAGACCTGAGTGTTAATAGATTTTCTTACCCCATCCTGATGAAACAGTTAATAGCAGAGAATTAAACATCATTCAAAGCCTATGCAAAATCAGTGTTTTCACTTGGTATCTCTTTATTTGAAAACAATAGAAATATATGGTGTCAGGGTTTTTTTCCCCCCTTAAAATTGCATAAGCATTTTTAGAGAGTATGTATTCAACATAATCACCACGGGGTTCCTGATGTTTTTGTTTGGGAAATGAGACTCATTAAATATAAATGAAGAACTTTTATGCCATACCTTTATGTGATATTTCCAATCACATTTCAGACAAGTATTCCCCTTCAAACAAACAAACAAAGGAAAACAGAAGGAAAACATACATGTATTATGTATCTATGTGCTTCTTCTCTGGAAATGAGATCAATCAGCACAGGAATGAGGAGAAATGAATAATAATTGTTTTAAAAACGAGAGAATTGTGCCCAGCATTGTAATACCTGCCAAGCAATCAGATCTTTGAGCCTGCTTAGTTTCTCCTGATCCTCTGGGTGATCCCTAGTGTACTCATCTATGAAGAAAGCCTGCAAGTAGAAAAGAGGTTGTTCAGTTTTTTTCATCCTAACATGACATTGATGGGTTGTATTGAAGATCTGATATACTGAAGGATTATTTTATTTCAAATACAGTAATTAAAATCCTTACCTTCTCATACTTAGCAAACCCTCCCATGACTGCTGGATCAACAATTCCATTCAGAAGCATGGACAGAGGGTTAATGGGAAGGTTCTCATCACTTTGGTACTGATTGATCATCGCCAGAATCTTCTCATTTGTCATGGACATTGTTTCAATGGCATTCTCCAGGGGGCTAATTGTAGTCTATGGAGGAGACAGCAAGAGCATCATCAGTCCCATCTGCAACTTTATGGCCCAGCAGGATGCACTGGAAAACTTGGGAGAATCTTGCATTCATTATTCAGAAGGAACTCAAAAAGCAGGTAGCATTTCATTAGAATTTCCCAATCTCAAAAAAATCAAATGCATATTGAACCATCTTGCTTAGCAGGAGAATGAATTCCCTGGTAACATAATGCTTTGTTTTGTTTCTCATAAAGCAGCACTGGTTTTTCCTTTCTATTTCTGTAGATTAAGCTAAATATTAACATTTATCAGAATTCTAATACGCACCTGTGACATAGAGACAACCTCAAACCAACGCAAGATTCCAGGGAGTTTATAAGCCGTAATAAAGGATGTTCTCTCAATCCACATAGACTATTAAAAGATACAGAGAGGAAACATTACACCAGTTAAATCATATTGTTAGAATGTTAAGAGCTTACTGGAAGTAAAATTTAAACAACAGGGAATTTCTTTTCTGGCATCAACATTATGAGGGAGAGAGAGAGAGGGAGGGAGGGAGGGAGGGAGAGAGAGATGATTTCATAATTTCAGTTACAAACCAGAATACTTTAATACTATCTAAAAGAAAAGAAAAGAAAAGAAAAGAAAAGAAAAGAAAAGAAAAGAAAAGAAAAGAAAAGAAAAGAAGCAGTGAGAGGAGAGGGACAAGACCCAGATACTGAAGAAAGGTATGGCAGAGAGTGCCAATAACTTGATTTAAACTAGAGTGATCTGAAATGTTTTAAAAAGTGTTGTTCGATATAACCAACCTATTGTTTATTATTCCATCTGACTTACTTATTATGTAAGTATAACCCCAAACATCTCACATGATTCTGTAGAATAAATATACAATTTACAAAATATATGCTATTCTAAAACATTGTATTGTATTTGATAATAAAATAGACATCATTTGAGAATAAATAGCTGATGCAATTTAAAATCTTATTTCATGTCTGATCATAATTAACATCCTAAAGGTACCATCTCTCATTATATTACCATTGCCAGTCATTTCAGGATCTTGTCTTAGATGGCATTCATCTTGTTTCTGGAGTGTACCAGTTTGCCAGTTGGTTGATGAGCTAGCCTAATATTAGTTAGACTGTAATCTTATTGAATAATGTAATATTTGACATGGTAGGATGTTGTTGCATGTCAAGTAGGATATTGTATGCTTATTAAACAACAAGGATCTCTCTAGAATACATACTAGCTCTGGCCTAATTAAGTATAGAGATGAATAAAATGCTTCAGGAAATTCCCCCAAGGTCTCAACACCCCCGACAGCAAATCAGCAATGGGAAGAATCTTTCAGAATGGTTATAGGGGTATAGCAAGACTTCGTAATAATTATTCAGCACTCCTTGGGAGCACTAGCTATGCAGACTCTATCCTCAGGCTTGAATTTGCTGGAATTTCTTTAAAGGGAAATTGATGGGCTAAGGAAGCAAAGAATAAAGTGTTCAACTTCTGTATCTTATTTCTGATGATAGTATTCTACAAAGCCAGGAGAACTTGTGGCATGCTTTAAATTCCTTAGAGCCAGCCCTGACAGAAATCTTCCTGCTGATAACAGATGAAACGCAGGCTAAGGGAAGGCCTGAGTAATTTTACACCCTGTTCATCCAGCCCAATGATGCTACTGTGGCATTTTGTAACTCTTCTGCCTACTAAGGAAGCACATAGCCTAGCCTGAGCCAATGCCATGTGTCACCTCTGAGTGACAGATAACATGGCCATGTTCAAAACATAAACAGATACTTACAGCAAATTCATTTTCAGGGTCAACTGATCCTTTTCTGATTGGTCTTGAATAGTGGAATCTTTGCACATAGTTAGACTTATAAAAACTAAAAGAAAAGAAACATTAAAAAACTTTCTCTCCACAAACTTCCCTGTGAAAATATAATTTAACTTTATGTAATTTAAATATACCATAACCACTTTTAACTCAGATGTCTACATTGTACTCAAAGTACTATATTGTACTTTGTAGGTATGTCTAAACCTAGATTGGAAAGTCTGCCTTTTCAGGCTATCATGAGTACCTAATGGTCTCAGCAAATTATCACAATGCAGCCATATTCCAGACAGTTGCATAGGTAAATAGAAGTGGTGCTAACTTTGATCATGTTGATTGCTCAGGACATTTCTACGGTCCACAAAGTAAACAAGAAATGGAGAGAAATATCCAACATATAAGCAGGAATATCTTCCATATCCTTCAAGCTATAATGTTAATGGAACTATGACTTTCAGAGGTTGATTATGAAGACTTAGCAATGGGCCTTGACTTGGTTGTGACTATGGATAGGTCCCAATTAATGCGAGTTTGAATAGTGCAATATTCGATTTAGTGCAAATTATTAATTGATACCAGGTTGCATTTAATCCGAGCCAAAATTCAGTTAATGCGAGGGGAGGGTAGTGTACACATAGTTGAGGCTAGCACATGCATAGTTGCCACTGGGGTTTTAGACACTAATCGTTGTCTGTGCAAAATGGAGAAAAGGACGTTTCCGTTCAGGGAAAGCTCAAAAAAGAAGAGGCTTAGTTTGAAGAACTACAACAGAATACAGGAGATAGCAGGTATGCTTTGGATACAGGCTTATCTTCCAGTTTGTCCCATGTTTACTTAATTTATTTACTTTAAATATTTATGAGATCTGTCTAGAAGATCTCATGACAGGTTATAATCCATTAAAAAGCAATAAAAAAACACTAAAATCATGTAAAAATAACTGAAGAGTGGTCTAAGTAATAATCTTGCTACCATTTCTTGCATCATCTACAACTTCTGAAAAGTCTTCAAGGGCAGACCTGTGTAAGACACATCGTAGTAATTCAGACAGGAGGTCAATCGATATTCATTAATCGCCTACTCATTACCAACCCTATAGTTTCCTATTTTACAATGCACTCTTCTTAAGTATTCCATTATCACTGCATCCAATATACTTTTATGTTTTTCTTGCTATACCAAAATCTTATTCCATATAATAAAGTGGGCAAAAGAATCCTCTTATACACAGCCATTTTCATTTTTTTAAACAATCATTCTTTTTTTGCAACAAATCTTTCAATCTTAACCATTCCTTATTCTCTTTGGCTACATGCTTTGCAGCTATCTTTTCTTTTCTATACCCATATTTTTCTCTCATTCTTAGCCATTGTTCTCTTGTACAATGTCACAAATCTTTCATGTCATCTTTTCACTAAGCTTCCTTTTTCATACTTCCAGTTCTGTGGCACTTCTTTTCATTTTTATGATGTACATTTTACAACATATTGCATTATGTTCACTTTATATTCATTTTGTAGGAAAATTATTTTACATATTTTCATTCAGGACTCATACTTTCCCTCCAATTTATCTACCTTTACTCTTGTTTCTTTAACTTTCTTCTTTTTGTTCCATGTCTATTTTTCCCCAAAATTCACTCTTTATACTACCAAGAAATAGTAGGCTTATGTTTAAAAAGTATACACAGGTAATCTTCTTTTAGTGGCTGCCTCACTTAGCAACCTTTTGCAGTTATGACAGTGACGAAAAAGTAACTTTGTGACCAATTCTTACATTTACAACCTTTGCAGATCTGTAAAGCAAAGGAAAGCTGAAGTAAGATCACTTAGTGACTGCTTTGCTTAACAACTGAGTTGCCAGTCCCAATTGCAGTCGCTAAATGGGGACTACCCGTATGTAAACTCTGGTTAGCCAGAGAGTGATAGTAGAGTATAAAAGGGAGGTGAAGATTCTCTGAAACTACTTCTCTGCCACCAGCCATAGAGGATGAGTCTAATTCCTGGCCTGTTACCATCTCATATCTCTCTTACATGCAGAACATGGAAGACTGCTTCCAAACCTACAGTTAATAGGAAGAGGTGGCATGTAGGCCCTGTTGTCTCAAATGCATGGTCAAGCTATTGTTTTTATGCTAAAACTTTTAATGGTTTAAAAATGGGAAAAATAAAGGGTGACACTTGTCAAAGTATTTTATGAAAATCAATGGCAGCTGCCATTATTTTCAAAGGTCAAAAGAACATGGAAGCCCATCCAAGCATTCTAAATAACAATCCATAGAAATCTAATTCTACAGATGCTGTTTCTTACTGTTGCTAATTTATCAACTCTCACCCTTTTCATTTTCTATGGGCCCACATAAAGCACTTTGTTTTACAGCAAGCTATAAATGACTTGAAGCAGATGATAGTTTCCATGCTGATACATGTAATATTTCAACTACTTTGCAGACCTAATAAGATCAGCTGTTATTGTGACAACTCCATTTACAGTACAGCAATCTATAGATTCAAAAAAGCACAAAGCCATAAAATACCTGCATTTTGTGAAGAGTAAGAAAAGATTCTTGAAAAAGAATCTAATGGGAAGTAATGGCAAGTACCTGTTTTCCATGGCATGCATAACAACACAAATAGTCCTTAGCTACTATAAAGCCCAAACAACACTTGGAGTTTTCACATGACACTTCTTAATAAGGTAGTCTAGTAGTAAGTGTATGCTAATTTAGTCATATCTGTGCCACATGCAGCATTCCCTGCAAATGATAAGGGCAGGTCTGATCACTATTGGCATATTTTGACCAATATGTTGCAAATGCCAAAACCTGGTTGTCCTTGATGCCTGCTCATACTATGCTTTGCAGATTAGGACTTCTAATCTAGAAATTCCTATGCATGCCCTGCATCCCTCCAACTGTGGAGCATGTATAATGTAATGACACACTCAACATGTTTTAAAGAACAAAAATTAAGGAATAAAAAGATGACGAGACTGCTGGGGTGCAGCTGTGCGTATGCTGACACACACTTGAAATAAGGAGCTAGTCTTCTTCTTCCTACTGGATATTTTATATCTATTTTTGATACCTTGATATATATTCAGTTTTGGCTTTCACTGTCTGATCAACAGAAAATAAACTCTCTTAAAAACATTGCAGAAAGGCAATAGGCTTAATGTAGCAGAAGACAGAAATGAGCAGGTCAATGATTATTCAAGATTACATGGCAAGAAGAAAGGAGACAAAAACCCAAATTATATAGTGGCAGCAGTATGTCAAAAAGGAAAGGCACAGTTGGAACTCCTCCAAAGAGGGAAGAAATGATCCCACGATCCTCCTGGCTTTATTGTTAACAAATGCTTCTTCACAGTTAACATTGTGGCAGGCTTGCCATCTTCCCATTTTCACACAAATGACTGAAGAAACTAAAACTCAGAAAGTCTCATCTAATAGATGACAGCTATTGCATTACATCTGAATTATCATTCCCTTCAATCAGCTACATTTGGCAACATTAGTTAGATTGGTGGTACACCAACAGGATTTTCCCTTAATGATGGGGAAAAAATAAATTTAAGTAGTGACAACATGACAAATGGAAGGACAGTTACAAAGACATGAACAGTGTGTGCTTTCAAGGTGTCCCCTATTAGGACAGTAATTTGTGTGTCTCATGGTAGAAGGGCCTTTTCATTAGCTATCAGATGCAGCTGGGAAAATGCTTTATGCTGCCAATTTTAAAAGTTACTTCCAGAAGAGGGATATTAAAAAGAAAACTTAGGGGGAACTAAAGATGTTACTTATTGATTGTCCAGTATCTAAAGTTACATTTGAAGTAAATTTCAGCCATCCGTCCCAAGTTGATAAATCAGAATTGACTGTAATCCAAGCACGCTGCTGTTAAGAACAATATTTAAAAACTGTGATCTCTTACAAGTCACAGCAGGGGATAGGGTATTCCAACCATGGCTGGTCTTGAAAGAGCCATGTAGGGTTAGGCATGGTTACCACTTAAATGGGACAACACCAGGAAAGCCAGTAGCTCTCAGCTACTCTGGGAAGTAAAATAAAATCCCAAAAGAATACAATGGCAAATCACTTCCATTTAATTGTCAAAGAAAAGTACATGGACCAGGAATCAAACTCAGCTTGAGTAAATCTTTATTATCTTCTACAAATTAAGCCCCCAAATAAATTTAAAACATTTGAGCTACATGACAAAGGTATGGTCCAGAGTCCCCAGTATTATCAAAGGACATCGTTATTTCTTATTTCTCTCTCCTTTCCCTTTATTCTTCAAATACAATTATTCTGCCTTTCAGACTCCGTTTCATCTGGAAATGTTAACAGGCAGAAAGAAGAGGATGATTTCTGCTGATCCTCTTAAATATATTAAACTTTGATTAAGAAAACAAGGAAAGCTGAAGCCCTCAGTGGCCTTGTAGAAGAACCAGAGGAAGGGAGTTGCTCTCACATTATCATTGAAATAAAAAAGCTCAATTAATATTGACTAACATCTACCAACAGTCAAACAATTTTTTTTTCCTCAAGGCAAATAGACTCTAGGGCCTTTCATTTCTTCACATGACGGAACCCCCTGGTTTGATAATCCATTCTTGAGAACATCATCAAAATTATGTTTTAACTCATTAGATCTGTCAACCTGTTCTATTATTTCCCTGCTAGTTTAACACGTGCATGGCAAACAGATTGTCAGTGATTGTACCCAGTAAATTAAAAAAAAAAAAAATCTGGGGAATGTGAAAGTTTATGAGGAAGAAGTTTCAAAGTTTCATTCGGGTGGTGTGTTGCTTCTTCCCTTTCTTCTAGAATTGCTGGCTGCTATGGGAAATATTTTTTCTTCCAAGTCTGGAGAATGATTTCCTATATGTGATCATTCCTCTCAAATGTGGGTTTAATTTATTAATTTATTTGATAATGGCCACTCATCTTATAAATGCAACTCTGGATGGTTAACAACATGTTAAAAACAATACAAAAAGCAGTATCAGCAAAAGCATAAAAACCTCCAATGGTATCAGAGAGCAAATCCAATAAACACTCAACAGTAACAATAACATCTCACAGGTCATCTAACCTCCTGACCCTCATGCTCTGGAGCACATCCATGTCTTCAGCACTTTGCGAAAGGCCAGCAGGGTCAAGGCCAATCTAATCTCAGATGGTACGCTATTCCAGAGGGAAGGCTGGCTTGACTTGAACTACATAATGCAAATTAAAGTTTCCACCATGCATGGAAACTACCTTAGTGTTATAAGAATTTTTATATGGTCAATAAGACAATCAAGACTTACTTGATAACTTGATCAGGCACTGGCTTATTTTTGAATTGAGGATGTTCTTCCAAAACTGGCTGCACTGTGAAGCACTGTATATCTAAAACCACAAGGGCTAAGGATAGCAACTTCTGTTATACCATTAGTGGACACAATCAGTAATCTGGCAACAAAAAAATCTCCTCCACAATTGTTCAAGAAATTTCTTACATAAAATGTTACATAATTAACTTGGTAAATTTTATGATACAGCTTAAAAAGTACGTGTGCACAGAAGTATGTTGATTAAACCTTAATGCAAGTCAAATCTTATAGTGTCAGAAGGAACTTAGGGAATTCCAATTGCCTTCATTATCTGGATACTGAATTTGCTACTGTCTAAATCAAGTGAGGATCTTAGTTTTGGTTGCCAAAACAGTGTTTCAAGTTTGTAGCTTAGAGATAAGGGGGAAAAAAAATCTGGTTTCAAAGGAAGGGGTATCATGCATCTGTATACAAGTCTTCTTTCTCAGAAGAAAAGGAAATTGAAGGGTGAATTAAGAACAAAAAGAGCTTGATCCTTAAATGCTTTTAGCTTGAGTGTTGCAGAGTGTTGAGTATTGAGAAGTGGAAGCAGAGATGATATTTTGACAAGCTGTTACAAATCACGGCTATAAAAGATAGGCTTAAGGTTTTGAAGATGTTCTGTGTCCATTTTACAATATATTATTGGCCTTTAAAAATCCATCCTATTGAATAAACACTATAATGCTTAGAAATATTCTGTTCTTTCACTTCAAAATCTTAACTGAAAAGCAAAAAAAAAAAAAAAAAGCAAACAATATTGTAAGATAATAAGAAACTACTGTAAAGCTAAAGCGTTATTTACATTAAGAAAGCCACAAAACATCCTGAGTCTTGCAGCATGAAGACTTAAAAAAATCCCTTTCCACATACTTATTCCATCCTGCTCCCTCAATCATGGAAGAAATCTTGTTCTATCTCCCTGTTGGAATTATAGTATGCATACTTTTCAGTATATTACTTGGGTATTTAATAGAGAAATGTGTTTGCTAGTTTTACTGATATCAATTAGTCACATTTTCAGATAAACACTTTTTAGCTTAATTCTGCTGCTTTTATATTGGCCAGCCGGCCTGCCTTCCTTCCTTCCTTCCTTCCTTCCTTCCTTCCTTCCTTCCTTCC